AATTTTAAAATATGAGTAATTTTCTTTTCCCCTGCCCTCAGCTTGATGAAGCAGTTGAAGCCACCAAGCTCAGTGGCCATGAGAGGGGCTTGGCTCAGGACCTGGAGGGTTTTCTTCCTCCACAAGCATCCCTGTGAGGAGATGGTCCAAGTTTTCCCCCAGGGATTTAGTGCTGGGGGTTGTGTCTGGTTGGGGGCAGCCAGGATGAGAGCAGCCACCCCTGTGACCTGCCCAGAGCTGTTCTCCTGTTCTCCTCACACACCCTCTCCAGTCCTGGGAAAGCAGCCACGGGATCCAGGGATGGGAAGCTCTTGAGAAATAGCCAAAGCAACAACAGCAGAAGGGTCTTTGCTTGAGGAACAGGAAAAACATCCAAAGCAGCCCAAATGAGCTGCATTATATTATTTTCTCTTTTTTTTTTTTTTTTGTTTAATTTTTAACCCATCTGCTGGCTCTGGATAAACCAGCTGGGGGTGGATGTGGCACTGGCAGGGTGCTGGTGATGCCACCAAGGCACGGAGCATCTCTTTCCTTTGCACACTGCTGAAGGGACTTCCACCAAAAGACAGTGACATCCAAAGCCAAGGACCCAGAGTGGCCCTGCAAGGCTGGAGGAGCGCTGGGCCAGCCCCCAGTAGCCAGGGACTCTCAATGCCCCAGCATCATCCACACCAGCCCCAGGATCAGAGCTCTGGGTGTTAGGTTGGGCTTGCCCTGTTCCTGTGGTCAGGGATTGCAGAGGGACACCCCACCTGTGTGCCAGCACATAAGGACAGGGACAGGTGTGTGACCCCATTGCTGGAGCCCAAAAGGTCCCACAAAATGCTGTGGGACGTGGGAAATGTCCCAGGAAATATCTCAGGAAATGTCCTGAGCCCTCAGCTGCCACCTGGCTGAGGGTCTGGCACTCTGACCCCACACCTGCTGCCTACCCCCGGGCCAAGATAAACCAGGACTAACTTTGTCCCCAGCCTTGAGCCTGCTCTGGGATTTATTGCACAGGATTCCCATCCTTACCACTGGCTGGAACCGGCCCATCGAAGGCTTCCAACGTCTTCCCAGAGCACAGAGGGGGCTGAGCTGTGAGCAGGCTGTGGGACGAAGTTCTCGGCTCTGGGAGCATCAATCGCTGCTGCATTAGTGGCTCTTTTGTCCGGCCAGGAGCTGCGGAGCTGCCCTTCGGTGGTGCCGCTCCTTTTCCTGCCAGCTGCTGTGTGCTCGGATGTTCTCCGCTATTTAGCTTGATCCTATTACGGTGGATCTCAATTAATTAGGCAGGAGGCACAGAGACAAAAAGGGAGGCCAGGGCCATTCGTTGTAGCCTTGTCATCGCGCCCTGTGCCCCCGGCAGGGACAGGGACAGCGGGCAGGAACGGCTGAGGCTGCTGGGCACCAAAGTGCTGTGGGATGGGAATGGGGCAGGTAGCTGGGGGGGCACAGAGGTCACCCCCTGCTCAGGGGTGCCAGGCAGGCTGACACCCCACAGGAAGGCAGCTGGAGCCACTCAGCTCTTATCCCCTGGGGTGGTGGGGTCTGGCTCTGTCCCAGCGCTGCTGACACCCTACAGCATCCCATAAACACACGGGGATCCAGCGGTGTGAGCTCTGCCCAGCACGAGCATCCCCCTTCCATGCAGGTGACACCGGCTGGTGTCACAGCCCTGGGAGGGAGCACGGCCACGGGATGCAGGGATGGCATCCTGTAGGAGCATAGGGGGGGTAGGATAGAGACCAGAGATCTCTGAAGCCGGGTCATGGAATTTGGGGTTTATTGCAAAGGGCCTGGGTGCAGGGCCCTGCTGGGATTTGGGGTTCATTGCAAAGGGCCTGGGTGCAGGGCCCTGCTGGGATTTGGGGTTTATTGCAAAGGGCCTAGGTGCAGGGCCTTGCTGGGATTTGGGGTTTATTGCAAAGGGCCTGGGTGCAGGGCCCTGCTGGGAACTGCCAGACAGAGCTCAGAGCAGGCCCGAGAGAAGAGAGGGGTAGAGAGGATGAGAGGGTAAGAGAGTAAGAGAGTAAAATGGTAAGAAGCGAAGTTCCCATTACAATACAATAAATCTTCTGTGTTGATATATTCTGATTCTCACTAATCAATCTAGTACAAGATACAAATCCTATAGCATTTCCATACAGCCTATAAGAATCACTACATTACCATACTTGCCACATTTTAAACCCTAAAAGCTCCTCTTTGGGCCCCTTCTGCCAAGCTGGCAGGGTCTGCCCTGCCCTTGGAGCTGTCTGCAAGCAGAGGGTGTTGTTCCATCAAAAGGGGATTACCTTCAGCGGCCACACCATTGTTTTCCCGTTGTTCAGAAACTGAGGGATCTCAAAGCTTGCTTTCATTTCGATGTCGCTTACAGTTTCTATATTCTCAAAATCTTTTCCCAGGCAATCATATTTATAAGGATTTCCTGTTTCATCTTCCTGATCAGGATCCCCTGGGCTCCCCAGCATCCCTGGGTCCAGCCACCCCACAGCAGAGGGAGCACAGCCTGGGATGCAGGGATGGGATTTCCTGGGCTCCTCAGCCCCTGTGGGTCCAGCTGCCCCACAGCAGAGGGAGCACAGCCCTGGGATGCAGGGATGGGATCCCCCCCAGGCTCCCCAGCCCCCCGGTCCGAGCACCCTGCCCCTCTCCAGCTCCCGCTCCCACGCCTGCCTCTGGAGTGGCTCCGAGAGCCCTGCGTGGGCTCAGCCCCGGCGAGAGGCCGGCAAATGGATCTCAAGGGCCGCCTGACATTCCTGCTTGCCTGCCTTTGAAGGAGAAGAGCCCCTCAGAGCTGCCCTCGGCGCTAATGCACAGGCAGGAGGGGTGCTGCTAAAAGCCAAGGCGGGCAAAAGCTTTCAAACCCTTGGGGAGGCCTGAGAGGTGCCCGGGGGTGACCCCAGTCTGCTGTTAGTGTTGGGGTGTACCCCAAAGTGCTGGAGGGAGGTGTGGTGGAGTCTCCTGTGGTGTCCCCATGCTGGGAGTGATGGGGCTGTGCCAGACCCTTCCTGGGGATGAAGGAGATGCTCCAGGAATGGAGGGGTTCAGGGGCAGGGAGGGGTGAAGGGCAATGTAGGGGACTTGGGGATGGTTGGATGGGGTTTGCAGAGTGCTGGGATGAGGTGGCTGGGCTGGAGGAGGGTGCAGAATGGGTCTAGGGGAGTACAGGATGGCAGCAGAGGGGGCACGGTGGGTGCAGGATGGGTGAAGCCAGTGCTGGAGGTGCAGGGGGTGCAGTGTGGGTGCAGGGGAGGCAGGATGGGTTCTGGGGTGCAGAGGGATCAGGGCGGGTGCTGGGGCTCAGGAGGGATGCAGGATGGGTTCTGGGGTGCAAAATGGATGCTGGGGATCCAGGAGGGGTGCTGGGGTACAGGGTAGGTGCAGGATGGGTT